GGCTGGCAGGAAAGTTGACATTTTAAACCTTAATAAAAAAAATCGATACAGGGCTTTAGAATATCAATACAGTATCGGGAAATGAAATATCGCGATATTTCAGTTTATCGATATTTTCTTACACCCCTAGTGATTAGCATTGTGTTGTTTACTGAAAATTTATTCAAATTCAAACCTTTAAAGTCATTACTGAAGACAGCTGGTGTGAAAACATTAGCTATTATTTACAGACACGTTCAGTCAAAAAAAAGAGAAAAGACTTGTTAGAAACTACGGTAGCTCTGTTGGGACAAACGACACCATAAAACAACTACTCTGCTGYCTCTCAAAAAGTTAGCATAGATTAATGAAACAAAATAAATTCATGACATGTGAAAACAAATGAATTACAATCCCCACCCAAGTGATCAACCTTTGGAGTCGAGCTAATTAAAGATGGCCGCCTCAGCTAACTGATTTCAGCCAACACAAAAATGTCTATTATTCAGACAACTTCACAGACACAGAGCTAAAATTTGATGTGGTAGTAGCTGAGACTGACCCCTATCTATACTACGAAGGTGTAAGGGTCACACCGAGGGGGACTAAACATTTCCACCTGTCTTTGACCCTGGTCTCAAAAGACCTTCCTCAAAAGAGACATTTTATTTTCTTTAATAAACAAAATAATAATGTTCTTTACATTTTTTTGATTTATACTTTCTTTTAACTACAAGTTATCATTTTATAAATCAAAAATATAAAGAAAAAGCCTTACAAAGGCCGTGCAAATTTTAGCATTAACAGCCTTGTTTGTCTGTTAGCAAAATATCATATCAACCACCAGATGAATTTCAGTGAAACTCTCAGGAAGTTGTCACTGAACACACAAGTATAAATGAATAACTTTTGAAGCCAACCTGACTAAAGACGGCCGCCGTGGCTAATTGGACACACAAAGATGGCTATAGCCCAGTCAGTTTTACAGATGCTGAGCTAAAGTTTGACGCAGCAGTAGCTGAGAGTCTCTGGCTCTACACAGACAAAGGCAGGAAGCTGGATCCCAGCAGAACAGCACCACACGGCTGTTTACTTTCTGATGGGTGGAACCAACAGGATGTCCTGCTCTACACCGTCTGCACCAACGACCTCGKTGATTAAAGGAACACCGGGAACACCTTCAGCAGTTACTGAAAACATCGAGCCAAGTCAGAGGGTTAAAGCTGGGTTCTGTCTGAACACATGTAGAAACAGGAGGAAGTAAAGTACCAGTGAAGCACCACCTGCTGGCAGAACCTGACCTGAGTTACGATACTCAACACCTCACGGATGTGATTTGGACTAAACTCAAGTTTCACCAAGACTGTAGAGAGTAAAACAGACCTTCTGGTGTCCCACAGTTTAACCAGGTTGTCCAGAGACCCAGAGACCAGCTGGTGCTCGTTGGACGGAGACCACTTGACGGCGGTGACCCAGCCTGTGTGTGAGGTCAGAGACAGCAGCACCAGAGCTCCGTCTGGTGAGGACACGTGGCGTATAAAGGGTTAGAGGACAAATAAAATCAGGAAGCYGGTCGTGTTGGGAGTGCAGCCGTACCTTTGGTGCGAGGGTCCCAGAGTCGTACGTGTCTGTCTGTGCTGCCTGAGGCCAGCCGTCGACACAACGGAGAGAAGGAGACGCAGTTAAACACTTTACTGCCCGTCTGTGGAGACAAACACTGGTCTGTGACACACAGCMAATAAATAAATAAACCAACACCTGCTGCACTTTACTGTCACCTCACGTGAACCTGGACACACCTCAGATTCTGAGCAGAAACACCMGGTTTATTAGATTAAAGCAAAACATATAAAATGACTGAAATTATTT